ACGTCGAAGGAGAGCATCACTTTGCCGTCGATTTTAGCATTACGTATACATTCTACGAATTAGAAGCTGTCACATAGACTGTAAGTTGCAAGCTGCTGTCGTACCGGTTCGAGTATTTCCACAAGCTACTGAGCGACCTTATGGTAAGGTGAGTTAACCATTGATAAAATGGGACGGAGTGGAATGTTTGCTTTGTGAATTTTAGGCTATGACTATGGTTATGGCTCTTGTTTATTATAAAATCCTACTCCAATTGCACACTGATTCAGCTGGTCTGACGAAGCTCTTGTGTCAACAGCGAAAGGTTATCAAACTAAGTTATCAACCGATTGTTTCCGAACCTCTCTGAACTCACTATGGCAAAAGTCCATTTAACAATTTAGCTTCCTGATGATTAATCCTGTCTATATAAGTGCTACCGCAACTGCAGCCGAAGTGATGAACAACATGAGAAGCTGAAATACCTGACGTGATGATTTAACAATTAGGAAGAATACCTCTTCGCGCTGTATGCATGAGTCGCAACTTGGCGGTATTCTAGGTGTCTTTGGGGTGGACCGCAGCATGTGTCCGATATTATTTGTCACATAGTTCACCTTGTACGACAAAAACAAATAAACCTCCTATTTCGCTGTAGTTAGCACTACTGTTTTATTGCTGGAAGGTCACCCGCGCACCTGAATAAACTCCTCAGGTTATCCGTCAGAAATTAAGGTCTTGGACAGAATTCCTTCTTTAGCTTATAAGTTTCGGGGCTGAAAATGCGTCTAGCTCTGTAGAAGAGAACCGTCATCAATCTATGTTTGCATGCGACCAGGACGAAGCTAGAAAAATGAATGCACTCTCCACTCTAATTCACTTTGCGGTGAATTGTGCGTTGCCCCCGTACCTTCAGCCCGTCTCCTAATGAGTATATTCAAAGCAGCAGGCAACCCTCTTGTTCCGCTTCATGGGATAGCGATTGATAGGGTTGAATTGAATTTCGAATAGTCAAGAGCCACGTAAAGTTTTCTGCACTGGTTAAGTCTAACATATCATCCACATAACTGTTGAACAGTTCTTCATCAGCAATCCTGGAAACAACTTGTCATTCTAACAAACTACGGAATACGTCGGTTAAAACTGACCCCAAAGGGTTAACTATAGCGTCCCCGTCGACCAGTTTGTAAGCTGTACTCTCCAACGCAAGCCATATGTTTTCAGTGCACAGTAGAATCATAGCCTAGAAATACTCCGCTGGCAGGCTTACAGACATATTCTGGCTAAGAATGATGTCGCACAATTTATCGAAGATCTGATGCTAGGCCACGTTTGTAAGTGGGGATTCCAGGTCTATTAAATATATGCGACCCAAACTAAGTGCAAACGGTTACTGCTTCTCGGCCAGTTCAAAGACATCTTTCAAGCAATACGTAGCCAGCAGTTTACGTACTGAATCTACCAGTCCCGCCAGACCCCATACAATGTTGTAATAATTCAAACCGTTCATACACATTGCACATATGCGTTTTGATATTACCATACATTTACGGCCACATTTGACCATATTGTGATTTCCGCTAAAACTATCGCTATTTGCCGTATTCAAATTCGCAGGCATATTTTAAATATTGGCTAAAGGATGAAAGAAAAATACTTTCACGTCGTGCTGGGCCTATCAGCACCTTGTATACAACATTCTCACGCGTGTCTGACTTCAAATAGCATGCACATTCTTATGTTCCACTTCATTGCAACTTTAATTCCTCTGAATTGACATGGTCTGTTGGCTTGTGACTGGCTACGCAAGTGCTGCACAATACGCGAAGATTTTATGACACATGTCTAGCTAAGCGTCTGCTGAATCACCACAGTGTTGATGAAATGTGCATCGTATCTTCCTAGTCTCGCTGCAGAATGGGTTGTAAAGAGCGTCACGCTAGGTGGCGCATCCGTTATAGACGACGACGCACTTAAAACGGAAAGTCTGATTCATCTTGGTAACGGTGGACACTGAAACGAATCGCCTCGAATACGAAGCGAACACTACTTCTTGTCAAATTCCGTTCACTTTAGACCCCATAGTTGTGCTAATATTCAGTACATACCCTCAGCGCAACCTGTATCTTGCTATTAGTTACAGTTAAACAAGCAGCATGCTGTTTCAAAACTTTTTCTCCTATAAAGTGCTTATGATCCACCTAACTCATCTCCGCTTATCGAATTAGGCAGCCTAACGGTGTCATTCGGCCTACACTACTGGAATTAAAATGATAATCAATGTTTAATCCGATTAAACAGATTGTGCATACGAGGAAATAATTATTTTCCATTATCTCTTCTGTCAAATGGCATCCGTGGAGGAATTCGGAGACAGAGAGACAAATTCTGACGTGGAACCGGGTAGGAGACCCCAAGTATGCGCAAAGGGACAAGTTGAACTGTGCATATCATTAAGTGCATACCATTGTAGCCATCAAATTCTTTCTTGAGTTATGACCATAGATTACAAATTGTAAAGCTATATCGCGCCATTATAAAAGAGATTTAAACAAGAACAGTACTCTTATTTCATACGTGCGCAATGTTGGGTTTTTTGCAATGAAAATTAAAATTATGCTTTCTTCCTGTTACCATGTTGACGCAAATGTCAGATTTACATGCATGAGCCGTTGAAAAATTTGCAAGGAGATATACCTTATAAGACACTTATGCGGTTCACCATGAAGGGAGCAAACATGGTTATTTATGGACCCTACATAAGTATATTGAGTAAAAACAGCGGAAGTTTTAAGTTTGTTTAGAAGGTTTCCAAAGCAGGTCACGAGAACGCTCCATATATTCAACGCTATTTCCATGGATCTTCAAACCCGAGATATCAGTTGGGAGTTAATAACTCGCAGTTGGCTAAATGTGATTCCTACAATTTTTGAAAGCCGTGATTTGGACTTCATTGAGTAAGCCAACTTTGTGCATTCCGTCATCTAAAATTTAGTATGTCAAACGCGGAGGTATTTGTGCCTCGCTTCATGCTGTCACATTTCGGGGAAAAAGCTGCGGGACGGTGTGGGGCCAAGACAAAAGTCAACTGATGACCAATCGAACATTGAACGAACCAATGATTGCGACCTCCGCTCCGTAAGATAGCATGCATTTCTACATGTTACGATGGGTAGGGTCATAAAGGCTTAAATGTAGTTGTTTCAAATGTTGACGGCATGGGTAACATAACCAACGTCGGCGCATCGTTCTGAGTTCTGCATGGCCTAAGTTAACCATTTTGTCCTGGCTAAGGCTTTTCTAATCTGAACGCAATCATGATCCATCCATGTGTAAGCTTTCATGTGCCAGCCTCCACTATGCTTTCGTGATCTAGCGCTTGAGTATTTTGATACAGAAAAGACAGGAACAAACAGACAATGGAACAGCCTCGAGTTAAGAGCGCTGACCACTAACTAGTTGAATGAATCAGTAGAATCTCTAATGCATCCACTTGTTAGAAAACAATCTCAGATTATGACAGCATCTGACCTAAGGTTGGTGACTATAAAGGAAACAATGACACTAAATTTAGCTTAGTATATAAAATGCAATTTGTGCTCCCACGGTAGAACACTGACAGTAAGATATTTAGTACAATTTTGTTAAACATAAAATACAAACCATGGATTTCAATTAGTTATCTTCATTGCTTTTGAAGCAGTCAGACAGGACTAAGCTCTATACTCTTCTCAAAATCTGTGGTTCGGTAATCCTGTTAAATTATCTGATTAGGTTGCACCATGAGATTATTGGACACATCTCTGTCGCGAGTTGTTTCCGCACACAATCAATTCGGCCTGGTTATCTGCCTAAATTGATGAGTCCTTTTGTTCTCCGCCACCGCAAATACCACATGGAGGTTCTAGAGATGCTTCAGCAATTGCTCCTTCTCTGCCATCTAATTAGATTTCGAATATCCGAACAAATGTTGGGCGCACAATTGCTTATGCTGAATATTTACTGTGGCAATAATTTGGGTTAAATTGTTCTGAGAGTATGAACGAAGTAAACGGCAATCAGACAATTTTGTAGACAGAAATTCGGCGATTGCTGCTTAGGGTTCCTGAAATTTCACAGAAAAACATTGCTTTCGTAAACTAAGTAACACCGAAATATTAACAAGCAGGGGAATCACCTAGCATCTCGATCAAGTCGATATCAGTGAATTGCTGATACGTGATCTCATTAAGTAAATGATAACTACAAGTACTTACAAAAACGTCTTCTATTATTTGGTGGTTTTATTCAGTGAAATAATTCCATATTACGTACATTCGACAGCCGAGAATTGGTATCGTTATAACGAAGGAGATTAACATGCTAGCCTCAATGTTTAGCTTTATTTTGCTCTCCTTTCTCCTTTTTAATTCACCTGATATAAAAATCATGTATCTTGATAACAAGTGTATATCCTCAGCAGATGTTTTAACTGAGGAAAATATCTAATGTTCAGAGTATTAAGATTAATGGAAGTTGCATGCATTAGAAAACAGATTCTACTGCATGAAAAGTTTTATGCGTTTTATACTCGACATAATCTTATGGAGTCTCCAATGCATCTATCAGGCATCAATATTGTTTTAATATTTAGAACAATGCGGTTTAACTAGTTTTACCGTAAAGAAGTTGTATGCACATTCAGTAATTTATGAACCTAGTGGTTTAGGTATTTCGAAGCTTAGTCAGTACGCGTATTAATAAACCGCGATTTCTTAGCCAGCAAAACAGATTCATCTACGTGGATTCGAGTAGTTTGCGTATTGTTTATGCCGCTCGTAGTCTCAAAGGCATGTGGTTCCCGCTGTTCTACGCTTAAAATTTAGACGACAACCACGATATCTGCACTGTAACTGGTAGATAGGTATAAGGAAACACAAATAACAAAATAAACTGTGATACAGCCAAATGAAATCTTTGAACTAGGTACCCAATAATCAAATAACACAATGTTTTGACCAGTGAGGATAGACTGCACTCACATTCAGTTTCCCTTATCAGGCTGAGTGATTCTTCAGAGTATGCACGTGAAAAATGGCGAGTCCCACGAATTGAAGTACTTCCGGTTGTATCAGACTTGTGTACCCTCGGCTATTGGTTGGCAAAATAGAAGCGAGAAGTATAGTTACTCTTCTTGCACCCATCTAGAATACGTTACCGGAAATTATTTTATATTTAAAACCGATAGAGTTAATGAAGAAATTAATGAAACCGAGGTCCAACCTTGAAGCAAATGTGCCATCCGCAACCACCGTGTATAAATTAAACACTGCGCAAAACAATTTTAATCTTCATGCGACAAAACTGTTTGATTTAGATAACCTTAAAAGTGGAGTAACACTAAGTTAAAGTATTTTTGTTCCAGTTTTATAATCTAAGACCTGTGTTTAACTTTTAGCAACTGCAACTTTATCGAAACATTGTTACTCTCTTTAATTAGCGATATTTTCACGTTTGCGCATAGGTATTGCGAAGGGTTGATGCAACAAAATTCCATCATCTTTAGTATTTCATTTAGGTGGAGATAAAAAGCTTCTGACACCTCAATTAGCTCCAACTATAACAGAGGTTGCAGCAACGCTACCGATTAAAGAAAAGGTGTATGGATTACATGGTACTTGTTAGGGTAATTATGTGACTTATTATGAATGACGTAGTACAAGTTGATTTGTCAAAACCATGCAAAATACATCACTTTGATTTTTGACCTAAATCCGGGTTACACCCACCGCGTACATTTGTACAAACAGAGGAAATGACGAGATTTCTCATCCACCGCAAACCGTAAGCAATAAAGTGAACTTGATTCCATCTTGCGACATTTTACCTAACTATCACACAAAAATCAAAGATGAAATTTAATTTGGAGTAACTGTAAAATATGATGATTTTAATTTCGAGTAAAACGTTACTTCGAAATCGGTACCAATTTGGCTTAGTTTAATGGCGTACTAGTGTCACCCTTAAGCAGCTGTATATTTAAAAGCACCAAAGACCCCGCTTTTCTAAGATTCACGGAATGCGATAGGTTTATACTCTGCATGGCGTCAGCAAAATGTAATACTGTCTTTGGATGGTCGGAATATGGCAGTTCGGCTAAATATATATGTTTGTATCGAAGCGGTCAAATAGCTTTATATGGAAACTTTCACTAAATTCTAGCAGAATATTTTCCTTTCATTCGAGTCAATCCTCCTAATTTCCCAACTGTATAAAACGGTGCGCTGCTAAGCGGAAAACTCCGCACACGCCTCATAAATCACCGCGACTGAGGTTCTTCATATATCACTGTCATTTCGTTCAATTATGTCTCTCATAATTCAACAGATGGATGAGTCCCAAAACCCGACTCTTCAAATTCAGCCCATATGAAATAAAGTTACGACTGGCCAGTTACCATGAGCTATTGGTGCACAGCTCTGCCACAAGGCAGGGAGATATCCTTCGCTTTTCGGTACATGTCATAATGTACTGAAGGTGTATTAGTTCTTGATGCACACAGGAAATGTGCCTGGAGGCGCAAATCTCAACTGTGTCAAGTCTGGTCGTGATTAATTTGGGTAGCCGCTTCAATCGATAGCCTCAATGAAAGGTTTCCACGATGTATATGACCCTAAGTAATTGTGGATAATTGGCAGTCATTTGCCTGACGACACTACGTAGTGGACAACCTCGAAATTAGTTCAGGTCGATGTCTTGTAGTTCTGCGCATCACACCGGTCTCATGCAGTTGCACAGGTTTAAAATAGTACTTAACTACTCAACACGCGATTTCACGGCTTCATTACTCGCAATGCATAATACGTTTTTATTGTTGCCATTGTAACTGATAACCTTCATCGTAGAGGTTGTTACGGTTAGTGTCTTTTCCTTTCCCATTATATTAATCAATTATTTAATGAATGCTTTGTTGTTGGCTAGCCAAGTGAGTGCTTCAGCGAATTGCAAATGTCCAGTGAAACAAGTTCGCAGACGCGGTAACGCGAATAGTTGAAATCACAGAGCCAGCGCTCTGCGTGCATTGGATCTCCTTTATCTGAAGTACTGGGAAAACCAATGTTATAGGAGTGGTAATTGAGTATAATCCTGCATACCTAATAGCATAATGCATAAATATCATTACTTTAGACAGAAAAAGTACCTCTGGTAGTGTATTTTTGAATTAACCATTCGCTGAATTATTTTATTATATTTAACACAGAATATCTAGTTATTTAGCTTCACAATTTATGATATTGTAGGGTAAGCGATACCTTTACGAAACAGTAGTTCATGTTGCCTGTTTATTTAATCCGTGTTTTAAGCTTTAACCTGGCCATCAGAACTTGCAAATAGTAGGGTTTTTCGTTACAATCATCACAGCTCCTTCTCATGAAATAAATGGGTAAAAATATCAATTCGGCACCGTCATCTTTACAAGCCGGACGAACAATTCACATACATATTTGTGGAAAATGAGTTCAGGACGGTATGCCACGTGCCATCTAACCATCCATGGTTGACTTAGCAGGCATCTAACTAGTATGTTAGTGTATGCTACTGAATGGGAGCTACTATTCGGAGTCCATCTTGTTTCACAAGGTAAATAACGGTTTTCATCATCAGGCCTTGGTTTCGATATATTTTGCCTGTTCGTAGGAACTATAACAAGGTTAGCATGTCAAGAGTTATGTTCATGGCTGTCAAAGATTAAAATAATATATTTTGCGACAAGTGATAGCTGATGGAAATAGCCGGGAATAAAACTGTTATCCCTTCAATGAAAGTCTTGAGTTCGGTCGTGTAACACCAACTTGTATCATCTGGGTTCCTAAGAGCCGATTGTGAGTAATCATCAAACCTGCTAAACAACGAGTCCTAGGTTGTTAATGACATAGGAACCCAACTGAATTTCATTAAGTGGACTGTTCAAAACACTTATATAGTTTTCTCACAGTGGATATGGCAAATATACTCGTAACCAAGTGGCTGCCCCACTCACCGGTGTGATCAGTAAGCGACCTACCGTGCTCCGCCACCCAGAGTCCGGCGTGTCCAAATTAGTTGTCGGAATGCAGTCTGGAACAGAAATTATGCATGTACGGATAATATGTATGCACACCACACACGAACAGGAAGCACGTTTGTTACCGAGGTGCAGCAGACATGAGGCTAGAGATGAATAGAAACATCAGCAGCCGGATAAGTATGTCTGTGAGAAGGAGTTGAATTTAGTCGGACTGGCAGGATTTCAAATTCGTTCAGTAGATGTGGCTAGCCAGCTTGTTTGCGTTCATGCCAAATTTGAGACAGCAGAAATTTCTGCCTTCTCTTATGGTCTGGTAACTGACCAGATACCTGGAGGACAGTGTGTCTTCTCGCACACACTCGCCGGTAGTCAGAGCACGCAAGTTTGTAGTTTCCGATGTTTGGAATAGGAAACGAGACTGGAACCAATTATGCGCTGATAACGCAATACGTGCAAAAGACTGGAGGTGCGCTATTCCAAAACATAATAACTAAGCGCGTTCATCTGTGACATCTTATGAGGAAGTTGAGTTTTAACGAATAAAAGGCTTGACCCTGCAGTTTAGTTTGCAACTTGGCTCAAAGTTTAGCGCTACAGTTGACATGACCAGATGGTTCAATTGGTTTAACGGATCTACTTCGTTCGGCCTTTAACCTATTCTAACACGATGCTTATAAAATGTAAAAATTGACCGTCAACAGTCTATGATTAAGCCCAATGAGTTACGCCAGTTGCTATAGACCGACATCTCTAAGTCATTAGGTGTGATATACAGTAACTAGCTATACCCTAACTTAAACCTTACTGCCGTGCAGTGGGGGGAACTCCCCCAACAGATGCGGTTGCGCATATGCATATATAGCTACTGTTTGAACAGTTAAACGAACGAAGAGCCTAACAAAGAAGATACCTCACCATCTGTCACGTGTGCAATTTTATCAGCCAGCAATCTTTCGTTTGAACAGTTATTTAACCAACACAGTCATTCAGCAAACATTGGCAGCGGAGATAACCAATTAGGGAAACGGAATGTCTACTGCTCCGACCCACGGCTATTACCGGTTTACTTTGATTGCTTTTTGCCCCATGTGCGCTTAACCATATTGGAACAAGTTAACAAACTTTGTCTTTTGTGCTTACATGTAATAATGGAAAATAAACACTTCCATTATACTATGATGAACAGTTCAGTAAAACTCATATCATTAAAATGTAATTCATATTAGTATACTTGATGATGTATTTGCTACAACATCCCTATGGAGACACAGAAGCTCGAGGCACTTTCTTCAGACATAAGAAGCATCAGAACTACTGGCAGTCAACTCTGTAACGGTAGTGTGCAAATTGCGTAGCCCAATCACTCACCGAGTGCTCTACCATTCGGACCAAAACACCCAGCATGAAGGTGAAGGTACATGGCTAGTGTAATTTAACCGAGCACTGGAGGAATAGGTCTATTTTATTGTAACTGATTACACATTGTAAGTCGTTCATACTCAAATACCACAGTGATGCTATTATTTGTAGCAAGTTATGTTAACATTTGATCTGTCAGTTGACTCACCACCTGTTACCTACAATCCAAAGTATTCAACCTACTGATTCTCCTCCACGTGGAATTATTTACTGTAGAGCATTGCTTTAAAAGAATTACAAAGACCATGCCGGCCATTGTTTTGCGACATGGCGGTAAACTACAGATATATGATTTGTTTAATATATGGTTAGCTGAATTTAAGTCCAAAACGAAGGGAAGAGTTGAAGGGCAAAATGTCGATAGAACGCACAGTGTTTTACTGTCTTATGCACCTGCAAATTCGACTTAATACACTAGACGACTGAGCGTGGATAAACAAAGGACATGTAATTTTGTAGTCGCAGCGAGACTAGACGGTTTGCGTACCTCCTTGACCCATTGAGCTATAAAGTTTACTGCATCCGCGCCCCTTGAGAGAATGAGAAACCAACAAGGATACGCTCGCTGTGGATATGTGAAGTTTATCTTGGAATAAACCGATAAACCGTCCCAAGGAGATCGGACCCTAATGTGGTGCGACGGCTTGCGTACCTCATTGACTCATTGACTTTTACTGTTTGGTGTCTCTAAACCCTTTGAGAGCTACTACTACCAGATTGGTCAATGGTGAGAGGTCAGACAAACTCAGTCTCCTGGTCCTCCAAGTTGGGGGTTTGCAATGGGAAGGCGTCTATTTCTATAAAACAAATAATTGTCTTGCGGACAGGCTTTTGAGCCAAAGGCTTTGGATGGAGACTCTAGTCGTCCTCTTGTCTAGGTCTGTGCGTCCTGGCAGTATTCCAGTCCACATAAAACCATGACGTTTTCTTCAAACATAAATTTCATCCTGCATCGGCCGTAGCGCAGAGTATCAAGGGTTGCCTTACTTGCTGCATACAGCAGAGCGTATAAGCGAAAACATGCTACTGCTAGCGCTCCCTTCTTTCTTTTACACCTGTTTCTCTTTCTCTCATTCCGACCCCCATTACTAACCTTTCTTTTATAGTTCCCAGCTTGATTGACAGCAATCGAAGTGCCACTGGAGTAGAACCAAAAGCAGTCACCTTCTCGCGACACTTGCCGGAGGCCAATGGGCAACAGACCCTTATAATGTTACGCTGTTCCGTTTTCTTGGCAACCTTCAACGTTAGTACTCTAAGACAAAAGGTCAACAGGCTGCATTCGAAGCCATTTTGGGCACACTGGGTACTGATGAAGATTATGTGTCTGAAACTAGCATCGATGACCATAATGCGGTTGTTGAATTAACTGCACCTGGCTTATTATCTCGTTATTGGTTGCACGCTTCCGGAAATGCCGGTGCAGCCCTCCCTGATCAAGCTGGTTTAGATATTATTACAGAAAAGTGAATCAGTGGGTCCCCTTCAGCCATTTGGTTAAGGAGACCCACTTTTTACTTTTCTGAATAGAAGACTCCGCGCAATCGTTGAGAGAGCATTAGACCGATTGTTGTCTCTGCGCTGCAGGCAAGCTGTTAAATGCGTCCGTGTGAGGTTTTTGGGATTGTATCCGCTCAAGTTCTTTCCCGCCAAGATGCGGCAAAACTTTATCTAAGAACAGGTTTCCGATAAACAATACTAATCTGGTCAGGTTTACGTCGGCGCATATCGACGCCTACCTTGAAGGCGAACGGAAAATTCTGGAGACGCGGAGACGGTTCGCATGCACATTCAATGAGTTGCCGTTGGTTTGTCAATTAAAATTTGAGGCCTTTTCCACTGATGTCCTCTGTCGCACAAGAGCAAAGCAGTTCGCAGTCTGCAGGGTTCTCTTGCTAAAGCCACCAAGGGTTCCTATCCTACTGATTGCTGGAAGCCTGTATGCAATTTGTCCTCTGATCAGTTCACGCGCACGCAATTAGAAGTTCTCTCGTTTGGAATGAAATGCCGACTACCGACAAGGTTACCACACAGGCGCATTTTGAGTATTTGAATGAAGAGCTCAGTGACTTCTCGCCTAGGTCGACGAAAGATGCGGGTTGGTTTCAATGGAAATTGGTAGATACTGAGAACCAGTTCCTGTGTACGCCGATAAATCAGAGGTGCTGTCTGCAATATGAATATTATACGGCGATCAAGGAGTTGAAACAAATGAAGCACGTAATGTTCCTGCAGCCGGATAAAGATCGGGCATTGTAGTAGTGGAAATGCTTGATAACACTTTGAAGATGGAGTCCATTCTGGGAGACACGCGGAAGTTCCAGCTCGATAATACACCGGAAAACAATATCCTGGTGGAGAAAAATTTAGCGGGGAAGCTCCGGATCCTCTTGCTACATGGTTACATCAATGAGTTGCAGTACAGGCAATTAAAACTGACTGGGACACAGACACCGAGAATAAGAGACGCTCCCATGTTACAAAAAACAGGATTCTCACTATATCCGATTATGTGCATGAACAATTCACCTTATCTCAATGTCGCGCGGTTGCTGGCCAAACTATTAGATACGGTGCGTAGACTAATCGCTACGTATTGCCTAAAAGACTCCTTTGAACTGGCTGAGACGCTGGAACAATTGTCACTGAGTGCAGAGCTTATGTACTCAATACTTGTGGACACTTTATTCACAAACTTGCATTTACATGAGATGGTCGATAATTTATGTGATTTTATCCTCAGTCAGAATATAAGGGTGGATTATTTAGAGGATATGATTCTATTGTGCACCGGGAACATACGGTTTGAATTTTGAAGGGGCTGCATACGAACAGTTTGACGGGGTCGCTATGGGAAGTCCTCTGGGACCAGTTTTAGCAGACATCTTCCTCGGCCTGATAGAAAGGCAAGTTGCTGCCAGCAATGGTGAATCGAAATTGTACAGACGATATGTCTATGACATTTTAGTCTTCACCAGCGAGGTACATTTTACGCTGCTGCTGACCACCTTGAATTCGACTCACCCTAATCTGTCGGTATCCCATGAAATGGAGCAATACAATTGCTTGGGTTTTTTGGATATACTCATTAGGAGACGGGCTGAAGGTACGTCGCAGCACATTGTTCACCGAAATAGATTCGGAGTGGACAATACCTTCATTTTTCAAGCTTCGCCCCGATCTCATGCAAACGCGGCTTAGTGAAAACTCTCTTCTACCGAAATATACGTATTTGCAACCCCTAATCGTTAAAAGCCGAAGAAGAACTACGCAAGACCTTAATTTCTAATGAATATCCGGAGAAGTTTATTCAAGTACACAGCGTACCGCTCAGCGTGGAAACACTGGTGTTTACGGCTGAGAAAATGAACGTTTATTTGTTCTTTCCGTTCAAGAGGGACCGTGTGGCAAATGATATCGGATGCAAGCTCCGGTCCACCCTAACGCGCACCTACCCGACAGACCAGTTGCGATTGAGGCATGCCACGAGAGGACTTGTTCTTCATAACAGTCATAGCATCTTCTCTGGTAGTTCGTCCTCTCCGGTTGTTTGTTAGTTCATCTGCGATTGCAGTGACTTTTACATAGGCCGAACAAACCATCAATTAGCTCAAAGAGTAGCTGAACATTC